ATTTTTTACATATACAAATGTCCTGTAGCACCCATTTCCAAAATAAGAGTAGTGTAGCTTTGTAAATTACAAGCATCATCATCATTACTGCACATGGTTTCCCACATGACATCTAATATCCAATGCAGTTCAATTAATGTACCACATTTAATGACTCAATTAACGATACCTTCTGAAATATATGCCCCTTTAAAAATATTAGGGACTATTCCACATATATAAATACATATATACACACACACACACACAAATATGTCAATATCACTTAGGGCTAGAATTTATCATTTTTTTTTCAAATTTCACATCAACATATGACATTTCACCACTTCTGTTCAAGGCATACTCTAAGATGTCTACACTACAAAAGAAATGTATATAGTCTTCATTATATAACATTTGGTAAACATGCAATATTAGTCATATTGATAAATGTCACTATAGCTATATATGTCACATAAGCTTTCAAATCAGAATTATTTCCTAAGATGCATAGACATGATTGTCTAGTAAATACCTGAAACATAGTTAGCACAATATAGGTGACATATAGTGTATAGATGTGTTTAACTATTTAAAAAAAAGAAAAGTGCTGGGCGGTGTTGGCGCATGCCTTTAGTCCCAACACTTGGGAGGCAGAGCCAAGTGGATCTCGGTGAGTTCAAGGCCAGCCTGAACTACCAAGTGAGTTCCAGGAAAGGCACAAAGCTACACAGAGAAACCCTGTCTCGAAAAAACAAAAAAAGAAAAATGAAAAAAAAGGAAAAGAAAAATGATATGTCCATACTGCTGGACCAGCAAAAATGGTAAAACTTAGGGAGGCCACATAAGGAGGAGGATTGTTAGTATCAGGTACATATATCCTTTCTTTTCCCTGTCCTGAGACCCTGAAAGCAGATGTGCATGGGCATGTACATGATCCTCTACCCACTAAGATGATACATGGCCAGTGTGCTCCCTCCTTAGACTCAAGGCAGGGAGGCATAGAAGAGCAAATGCTTGGGCCCCAGGCACTAGAGTGCACTTTGACAAAGCTATGCACAGAAGGCAGTCAATGCAGGCAGGTAGTCCATGGGAATCAGGAAGAAACCCACAGATAGAAGCTTGCCCTTCCTCAGATTGCTAGAGAATATACTTTTCTCACTGAGAACAGGGAGACCCACCCTGATGAGCCCCCATTGCCAACCTAGGATGATGGCAGGCCACAGGCCAGTGTCAGTAAGTAGGAGTGTCTGACTGGGAGTCAGTCTATGCCTGATGCTAGCCAGAGCAAACAAAGCAATCACCATCAGCACCACCAATTCTAAAGGGCAAGACAGTTGGGTAGAGAGACTCCTCTGGATCAGAGGAAACTAGACACAGCAGAAGGAACCTAACTTCAACAGGACATGGGAGATCTGAGAGGGAGGCTCAGGCCCTCTAGCTACCTCCTCCTGCCTGGTCACTGTCATCAGGTGTTTGCATGGCTCTGAGTCCTTGGAATGAATCTGTCTGGTGCCCCTTGTTACGTTGCTGTGGGGGACCAACAGAGAGACAGACCTACAGCTTCCTCTAAAACCCAGGACTTTCCAGAAGTTTTTTGGGTTCACATTTACAGTTATCTAGAACCCAGACTCCAGTCACTTTGCCAATGCAGAAAGTCCATTCACCTAGATGGTAGGCCTGATCCTAGCAAGAGGTGAAGGCAGGGCCAAAGTTCACTCAGCCCGAAGGAGTTCAGAAGAATGACAATCAAGATGTATGTGGGAGGGAAACATCAGCTTCTTTCTACATAGCCCTGGCAGTCCTAGAACTCATTTTGTAGACCAGGCTGACCTTGAATTCACAGAACATCTGCCTCTACTTCTCAAGTGATGAGATTAAGGGCATTTGCTATCAGTGTACACTGTTTAGACCAGGTATTTTGCCTACCTTTCTTCCCACAGAGGTTATCACGTACAACTGACCACCCTGTTCTCATAGGATCCTTCTTCTGTCAAGGCATTCAGGGACCTAGACAGTCCCAGAGCAAGTCCTCCACATTGCCATTATTCCCTCCTATGAACACAGCTCTCTTGCATGCTATTCTTGGGACCTCTAGACTCTGGTTACTCTAAGGTTCTGCTTTGCACATTGGGCCACAGGTAGGCCTGTCCAAACCCAGCTGCCCTCGACCTGGGAAGGAAAAGCAAAGACTAGTAGTCCCCCTGGAGCCTGAATCTAGCAGTTTGATCTAGGGAGAAGCCAGCAGCTGAGGATTCCTCAGCAGCTATTATCCCTCCTCCCTGAGGGACAAACCTCAGAACCTGTACCCACAGGCAGTGATGGCACAGCTGCCCAGGTCCCAGAACAGAAGGTAAGAGGCACAGATATAAACCAGAGCTGGTTATCTCTTATTGTTTGGAAAATGTGGGAGTCTGTGGGAGACTGGCTCTGACCCATTCCCACCTATCAAAGAGTTCTTGGTTGGTGGAGAGAGGAATGAGGAAATGATAGAGAGAAAGATAAAAAGAGATTATAAGAAAGACAGAGACACAGGATAGCTTCAGGAGGGCAATGGGTCAATACCCAGTTGCCCAGAAATTTGTTCAAAGGAGCTTTTTATAATATGCCAAGGGGAGAGGCAAAAGACCTCCCTCTTGCAAGATCAAGGCATGCCATACAGCAAAGTATAGACCCTTCAAAACACTTGGTAACCATGCCCATGGTCAAATCATCCCATTATGCAGCCCTGCTGGGTAAAACAAGCCCAGATTCTCTGAGCCTGAGTAAGTTCTCACTAGGAAGCATCTCTGGGTCTCCACAGTTTCCCCTTCCTAATAATATAAAGGTCTCAAGTGAGGGTACACAGCTTAACTCTATGCAGCTCTGAATCAGCTTTCCACTAAGAGCTTGTAAGTAGCTGGAATAATTATACCAGTACTCCTGCTCCTTGTGGATGATGTATCTCCTAGTAAAGGAGTAGAGGATGATAAAGATGGAATGGCCTTTTTGAATGGGTCTAAGACGGCTACAGCAGTTTTAGCTGCATCAAATCCTTTGTTAAATGAATAAACTCCTGATGCAACCACATCAAATAAATCAGTAAGCTCCTGGTACAACTGCATCAAATCTAAGGACTTCTTAGCATCATCATTATCACTAATGGGTTAACATTGTAATTCTAATATGACTACTACTATACACAATTACAGTTCTCACAAACTTACATCCAAAAGCAAATTCTCAATAGAACTGTTAACATGTTACAAGCTTTAGCAAACATCCAAAAAGCAATCTCTTAATAGAATGATTTACACTTTCTACTAACAAAACATAGGGTATATTAACCCAAGTTAACATTAATCTGCTCAAGGGACAAGAAATTTTTTTTAAATTAAAGAGACTGAAGAATATTAACTTCCCCTTTTCTTTATAATTTTTTAAACTACATCTTGAGCCTGGGTAGAAAAAACAAATTTCTCTATTCCTACACAAACAGTTTCAATTTTTTAAAAATACAAAACAGTTCCATTTCTACACAACAGTTCCACAAAACAGTTTACAAGTCACCACAGTTAAATAAAATTGTAGGTGAAATCAAAATTTTCCCATTTTTGAAGTCTGAAAAGTTAAAAAAAAGTCAATTCTGATACCAGTCTTAACATTCCATTGAATGCTAGAACTCAGGGCCTGGCTTATCAGCTGCCCTGAAGTCTTTGTATAGCTGTCCAAGTCATAAGCAAACAGCTCCAAATATGAGGAATCCCATTACCAAAACTTGTTGCAGTGCAACAACCCAGTTCACATGAGCATCTTTGAAACTTTTGTTCTCAGCTACAGTTGTGATTAGCAGTCCATAGTCTTTCCCTAAGGCAATTTGCTCCAAGACTAAATCTGTTAGTGCCATAGCTAGCACTGCAGTAGCTAACTGGTACAGACTTCTTCAAAAGACACCT